GGCTTGGTGTCTTTCGACAAGCCAGTTAGCCCCTTAGACTTTCTGAATGCCCATGCTGTCTTCTGTGCCTGGAGATCATCACAGGGAAGGTAGACAATGGCCATGAATGTGCTCCGTGAGCCCTCTTCACCAGTCCCAGGAAAGGGAGAAGACAGGAGCCACATTGGAAATGCTCCCCAGCTGTACTTTCAGGAGGAATAAAAGTCTCCTGTGCTCAGGCCTTTTATGGTTTGAGTGACCCTTGGCCCTGATGCCTTCCTGCTTACTGTAAATACTCTTCCCTGCTAGCTTGTTCTCTGCCTGCCCTATCTATGATCCATGACAGCGTCAGTCAACGGCTAGCTCAAGGGAGGGCCCAGGAACAGCCAGAAATGGAAATGACTGTTCTCAACAAATAGAAGGTCAAGCAAGGCACAGGACAAATAAATATGGCTGGTTTTCTGACTAGCAAGTGTCATTCTGTTCTTTTTAAGGTTAAAATGTTGCATAATTAAATTGTACTTACTGAGCATCTACTTTGTGTCTATGTTGTTATTGCCTTATTTACATTATTTATGACCACTAATAATGCATGAAAGAGGCATCGTTATTCCCATTTTACAAGGGGTAAAACTGGCATTGAGAGAGATTGACTTTTGTGTCAAGCTCTTAGACTACCGTAAACAGGTCCAAAATTTGAACTGTCTTATATAAAAATCTGTGTTTTTATATAGCATACCATTTGCCTGAGCAATAATAATAGTGCAAATAGAAAGACAAGTGGAAATTTTGGAAGCATGCATTTAATAAAGAATAAGAAGTTCGAGACAGCCTGATAGGGCCCGTTTGACCTCCAGCAGTGTAGCGGCTGTGATCTCAGCAGACTGCCAGAGTACCTGTTCCGGCCTCCCTCTGGCATAGGCGCTGAGAACTCAGGGGACCACCTGAGAGTGCCTGGATCCTGCCTCCACATGGTGATAAGAGTTATGCAATTTGGGAGTCTTTTAGATAGACCCACTGAAGGGGTACCACAATTGCCTCACCCTGCATCCCTGTTCAGCATGGAAGAAGCCAGAGCGGTCTGCTCCCAATTCCCTATCTGCAAGTTGGGTAATCTCTTCAGAGGATGGTGTGATAAGAATAGGAGGTAGGAATTGGCTAGGCAGTTAGGGTAAAAAGACCCCAAAGAAAAGTAGCCAGTTTCTTGGCTAAAAGTCAAAATGTCTTTGGGCCTCTTAGCAACATACTCTGTTCCAAAGGCCAAAAATGTCAAAAAGTATTTGAGAACTTTTATTTAATCCCTAAAAGATTTTAGGGTTACCTCTTCAGAGTGGGGGATGTTAGAGTAGCAAAAAGCCCCATAAAAAGAAGAAAAGAAAGAGTACATGAAATTGTCGGAAAAAAAGTGATGGGGCGATATGGGAGGATTTGGAGGGGAGGGAGTGGGCATGGATTTGATCAAAACACCTTATATACATCTATGAAATTCTCAACAAATTTTTTTAAGTTAATGGAAAAAAAAAGAAGAAGTTCAAGCCAGGCCGGTGGCCCGTGGTATACAGGTCTTTAATTCCAGCATTCAGAATGCAGAAGCAGGTAGATCTCTCTATGAGATCCAGGCCAACCTGGTCTTCATAGTGAGTTCTAGGCCAGCTGGGGGTACAGGGAGACCCTGTCTCAAAAAGCAAAAGTTCATAGGGCTTGTATAAATACACTCCAATTCCCGCTGCTCAGGCCTGCTTGCAGAACCTGTACACTGACACCTGGGCAGGAAGAAGAGGTCCCAGATTAAATACAAAGTGTACACGTAAATGATTACATGATAACTGAGGACAAATGGGCTGAAGTCCTCCAGAAAGCAAATGTGAGCAGCTTTGTTGTGTCCAAATGTCAGTATCTGAAGTCAGTGTGTGTGTGTGTGTGTGTGTGTGTGTGTGTGTGTGTGTGTGTTTTATAATCATATTATTTAAAGTTATAAAGTTAGATGATGGAACTGGGTAACAGCATTATTGTTCCTCCTCAGAGTCTGATCACCTTGCCTCCCAATAGAAATCTCTCAAAGAATCATCCAAACCAAACATATACTTTTAAGCTCTTTTACTTAATTTAGTAGTTTAACAAAGAGGATTACAATTTAGCTCAAGAGTTCTACTAACCAATTTCTATGGAAAAAAATGATCACAATTTAGCTCAAGAGTTCCTTGAAGTACTACTGTTAAATCTTTAGACAAAATCATTACAGATACCTTGGAATCTATGAAAACTCTTTCTGCCTCTTCTACCATTAGCTCTTTCATGTCATACCACTTTATTATTTAAAATCAAGGACCTTTGCTCTGGTTTCTCTTCAGAGCATATCAATCTTTCACCTTTCAAAATCAAGGGCCTTATTGTGGCCAAGCAAGTGCTCATTGTACACTCATTGTGGCCAAGAAAGTGCTCATTGCACTCTCACACAAAAGCCAAGACTGTGGCACTTTTTGTTATTATGATTTGTATGTTTATTTGTTTGTTTGTCTTGCCAAAAGAGCTTTATTAAAGGTAAACTGGTAAGGAGACAGAAGAGAGGCTCAAGTCTATCTCACAGATTGACAGGTGGGGAAAGAATTTAAGTGGCCAAGGGTAGAAGACGTAGGAGTCTTGTTGAGAAGGTCTACATCCAACACAAAGGTCCATGTAGAACTTAGACATCAGTCTGGTCCAGCCTGCCTCTGCTGGAGGCATCCTTCATGTCTATGCACAGAGATGAGACAGAGCCTGTTCTTATTCCCCCAGTTCTTCACCTTGGAGAATTTTGGTTCCACCAGGCTCTCAAGATCATTTTAGGTCAAGTCACAGGATGCTGCACCCTGAAAAACAGCCTGAGTAGTTCTGAGGAGTACAGAAGTTGACATTCCATGACTTGGCTTCATTACCAGTGGATTTACCTAAGCTAAGCTCTAGTACCACTCCCCCACAATCAAGTGTATAAAACAACACCTACTTCTAGGGATAACCATCAGCTTCTCTGGAAGTTATGCGAGATAATTTATGCAAAGTGCTAGAACTGAATAGAAAGCAAGGGCCTAAAAGTTGGGAGCCCTGCACCTTCCAGCCTCTCACTTAGCCTTTATCTTAGCAGTTTCAGTGTTTTACCCACATGAATGGGGCTTTGGGCCCCTGAGGCTCAGATTCAAACTTCAACTCTGCTTTCTACCAGCTGGGTGGCCTTGGGTAAATGTCCTGGTCTGTCTGACACTCCCATTTTTCTTCAATAAAAGGAAAATAAGAGCCCTCCTGTGTTATAAAGCAGTGATGTTTACAAATAGCATATGCCAAGAAGCTGGCAGGAGGGTGGTCTAGGAATAAACAATTGTTTTGTGTGTCCGTAAAGTAACCTGCTTTTCAACTGATTGCTGCTAGATGAGGAACAGCTGACCTTCCTAAAACAAAGACCTCTAGATTCACCAGATGGACAAGTAGTGGAGAATGGCGGTGCCGACAACACAGTGGACAGTAGCAGGGATAACAGAGTATAAGGGCCTGGCAGGAGGGTGGTCTAGGAATAAACAATTGTTTTGTGTGTCCGTAAAGTAACCTGCTTTTCAACTGATTGCTGCTAGATGAGGAACAGCTGACCTTCCTAAAACAAAGACCTCTAGATTCACCAGATGGACAAGTAGTGGAGAATGGCGGTGCCGACAACACAGTGGACAGTAGCAGGGATAACAGAGTATAAGGGCTCTAGTGGGGGGAGGGAGGCTATGAGAGGGTGCCATCTGGGAAGTGGGTTGAATAAGATAGTTTGAATAAGATAGTTTGGTATGTTCTGTGTGATATACACACATATACACAAAAAAAATCAACGAATTTAAAATAATGTATTACCAATGAGTCTTTCTGTAAGAAACAGGATATTTTTTAATGAAATGGAGATCTTTTTTAAAGGTTAAAAACTCATCCAATTTTATGTCTTACAGGGCTTATACTGAGTTTGATATTGTATAACTGTATTAATTCAACAGCGAACCTAAAAACTTTATAGCCACTTTTGAAAGAGATGTATCTTTGCTTTGGAAACTGTTATTGAGTATGTTAAAGCTATACTGAAATGCTTCTTCTAAAAAAATTTTTTTAAATATTAAAAAAAAAAAGTAACCTGCTTTTTTAAATGGAGTTCATGATTAGGTTTCATGTGATTTCAAAACCTGCAAGCTCCTGTCATTTTTATGGTTATCACTTCTGGTCATTTTTAAGTCACTTTGGGGCCTTGCAGGAGCTTTTTTAAACTGTACCTGGAAGCCCACAGAAACAAAGGTACCTATTAGCCAATAGCTACTGATCCATCGATGGGCACTCTGGCACAATTGTAGCCCAAGTTCTACAAAAGTCTTGGAAAGGTTATATACATAACTCAGACAGATGTAGTAGGCAAGAGATTACAGGCCAAGAGGAAGAGGTCGGGCTGGGGGCTGAGCATTTGACAGGCTCTTACACTGTAAGCCTTGTTCAGGGTCTTTCACAAAGCATCTCTTTAGGGGGAAAACAAGATGTTCTTTGTAAATAAAAGTTCATGCATTTGAATAATGAAGTCATTTTCCAGCACTACAGTCAGAGATATTCTGGAATTGGGGGTTGGGGGAGCAGAAGACCTCCAAAGAAGAGTTCCACAGGCTATCTCTGAAAAGCAGAGAGAGACCTCACTTCAGAAATGGGCACCCTGCTCCTGGTTCTCAAGGTCATCTACCTTGGGCTCCCTCCCGCCCCTGGAATCCCTTTTCCACCCACTTTCCTGTACACTGGTGGGGGCCACATCAAAATCTATATAAATATAGATCAGACATCCGGCGCTTTGACTACGTAAGGGATAAGGGGAAGTAATCGCAAAAGCTGAATATTCATCTGTAGCCTTGGAAGAGCTCCATACTACGAGGGGGAAGGGGAGCAACCAGGAAATGCCCGACCTCAGGGTCTGAAAAACCAACTTGGAGTGGGAGGGCCTGGAAGGGGAAGGTGGAAAGGGAGTGGTGAGAATGTGTGGGAAGGAAGCCACAACAGCGCCGTCCTGGCCGCTAGGGAGAGGAGGTGGCTCACGCCAGTCCCACCCCGCTGCCTTTTGATGCTCTCGGGGCGCCAAGCTCCATCCATCCGTAGGTCCCAGGGCCCAAGAGCGGCGGAGAGTGAGAGGGATAAAGTGAGAGAGAGGGCGGGAGGGAGGCAGGGAGGGAGAGAGAGAGAGAGAGAGAGAGAGAGAGAGAGAGAGGGATAGCCTTTAACTTACTATGAAGACCAGGCTGGCCTCAAAGTTGCAAGTTTGGCTGGGCTGCCTGGATTTCCCACATCTGGATACTGCAGGCCCAGAGAAGATAATATATCTGGCACCACCGCATCCCTGGGGTACCCAAGGAGACTCCCAGTTCCAGCGTCCCGGGAAGGGCCCTTTTGAATGTCAGCAGGGAGATGGCTTTGAGCACAGCCTGGTGCTCAGTCCTGCCCCTGTGGATCCTCTGGGGTGCTGCCTGCTCCAGCGCCGCGTCTGGGGACTACAATGCGTTTCCTTTTGACATCGAAGGGAGCTCAGCTGTCGGCAGGCAGGACCCCTCCGAGACCAGCGAGCCCCGCTTGGCTCCGGGACGCCTGCCGCCAGGGGCCCAGGTATGTGCTCCTGCTCTTGCTACCCTGCTGGGCACCTGGGCCAGCGGGCTGGGCCGGGATTCTCTCTCTCTCTCTCTCTCTCTCTCTCTCTCTCTCTCTCTCTCT